TTAAGTAGCAGATTAGAAAACACCCACCATTAAATAGGATGGTTTCTTTTAAACATTTAATCATCTGTAGTCTCAGGGACTTTTGTTCCCAAAGGTACGGCCGGACCTTTCCTTACAATGAACTCAGAATAGGACTCACTGCGACACAACCCCCCAAGATTTAGCTAAGGCAATCCAAGCAGAGCCTCCTGCAGGTGACACCCCATTTTTGAAACACCAGTGCTCTGATTTTACATCTTTAAGGGATGCATCTCAACTTCCATGGAAACCTCTGTGACAACCAATGACTTTCACACTGACCGCCATGGTAAAACACCATCCTAGGAAGTGAATAAAACTAAGATTAAGCTCATTTTTATGCAACAGTGTTATGGATGGTAAAGCCTACTCCGTGACCCATCAGACCAAAATTTAACTATTCATAATACCACTGATTCTCTTATAGCAATAACACTCGTTCTGTGTTTAGCCATGTAAGTTCAGATCAGGGCCATCAGAAACAAGGAAATGCATTTTCATCAGAAGCCTGAGGAACAACAGTCTGTGTGGTGAAGCTCCATTTACCCTGATTTTCGAGCTTAAATTCACAGAAAAACATTTCCTTCAGAGACAACTTCCTGGATCACAGCAAATTGATTCCTTCCTCAATATATTAAGAAGTTTTCCTAAGAAATAAACTCCAGAAGTGGAACAAGGTAATAGGACTTAGTACATTAAAAAACAAAAACAAAAACAAAAAACAAACCCCACAAACAAAAAACCCCAACAAACCCAAGGAAAAAAAAAAAACAGGAAGATTATCAAATAAATAATTTGCCTTCCTGAAGGCCAGGCCACACTTAGGTACAGAGCAACCTGCATTTCCACAACTATTTCCAAGTGTACCCTTTTAGGGCTTTTGTTCTGACTTCTCCATCACACTTGACATTAACATGAAAGGCTGTCTTTGTTTTTCTCTCAACTAGAAAACCCCTCCTGCTGATAGGTGCCCTGTAGTGAAAGAAACCACCTTCAGAAACAGGGAGAATGTCCAGGCTTTTTAAGATTTCTCTTCCTACTGCTAACGTTGTTTGTGAATTAAATGTAGCTCTACTGCCCTTTAAGCTTTATCCCAAAGCTTTTATCTTTAGCTTCATTAGTCTCTTTAGAACACATTTCAGACAAGCTTCAAAGCTTTCCTATGTCAAAAATAAAAATTTCAGAGAACTTGGACTGCTATTTTATTCTGATTTTTCTCGCACATTGTCTCTTTTTTTTTTTTTTTTTATTTTGTTTCCTGTATCTAAAGACTTTAAAGGTTTGTAAATGTTGGTTGAGAGGGCTGGATGCTATTAAGCAGATGTCATTACTCACTTCAGTTTTTAACATTTCTCTTGAGAATTTTTTTTTTTTCATCTTTAATCCTCTCTTATGACTTCAGGATTTGTTTTTCAACCAATAGTCCAGAACACATTTTTATTTCTAGCACTTGCTAGTAATGAAATACGGATTATTTTGTCTTAAATCCATGATTTCATCAGCTATACAGCAGTAGGATCAAGCAACAAGCATTACTGATCCATATTTCAGTGCATGATTTTTACGAAACAAAACAAACATATGAAAACAATAAAGTGGGATATGCAATTATTTAGCATAAAATCCTTTATTAGCTTTATCAAAATCAATTATAAGTTGCATCAAATTTTAACTAGGATTCTACTAAAAAGCAAATCAGGTGGGAAAAAGTCCAACGTTTACCATACAAGACCTGCAAACATACAAACTACCCATCTCAGAGTGAGGATTTCCCTGGGCATAACACACCCTCACAGAGCCGTAAGCTGCCCGAGGTGAATATCCATTTTTAATTGTCACACACTTTTGTTTTGCATTTTGCCTTAACTTTGCTCCAACTCCCTCGCATCCTTCATCGGGCACTGGGTTTAGGATGTGCTGCTTCTCACGGTGCCTGACACCTTAACTTTCCTGAGCTGACAGAGTAGTGATGCAACTGATTTCCCCAGAACCTGAGTTTTTCAGGCTCCCAAATTCCCCCAAAGGATCCAAGGTAACAGACACCTCCATGATCAAGATGCTCAGAGGAAGTTTCAGATGCCCCCAAAGATGACACCTCTTTTCCAGAGGCATTCCTGTTCTGTTTCTTCTAACGTCTAGTGCACAAAGCACTCCCTGGCAATAACACTGTGTTCATCCTCAGCTTTAGACCTTTTTCAGGAAAAAAGTTAGACACACTCTTGTTGCTCTTCCCTACATCGGGACTGATCTGAATCCAGCCTGCTCTTAGTCTGAGCTTTTCCATGATGACAGCGCAAGTGGAAGCAAAACACAGTGATGTTGTGATAACGGAGTGCCCAGCATAAAATACAATCTCACAATTGATAAAGCAAAATACACTACTGGAAAATCTGAATGCATTTTTCAAAGGGCGAAAAATAAGTAAAATTATTCATAGAAAGAAATCAGCCACAAAGAATACATTTGGAACATGGGAAAAAGCTCTTTTCAAAAGAGACTGGAGTTATGTGCTGAACATATTGAACTAGAATACATCAGACAACCCTGAGACTCCTTGCAAGGAAAAAAAAAACCAAAACCCAAATTACCCTTACCACAACATCAAACCCGTATTTTTAAAAAACAAAATCAATTCAATTCTTGAATAACTTATGAAGCTCTAATGGAAGAAAAAGAAATCCTTCTGCATAACTTAAAGCACATCTACTGTGAAATACTCAGATGCACCAGCAAACCAAAACCATAGCTAGCTTCACGTAGAATACAATTGCACCCTTCTTTATTATTTTTTTGTAACGTCCAGAGAGATTTCTTTAACTCGACATGTTAGAAACCAATAGTTCTAATCTGTCCAGAAAGTAAGACCGTAGTTGCTAAGGCAACACTGCCTTTTAGGCCTGCTTGCTCTTTGCTTAATATGCCAACATTTGAAAATATTTTACCACTGCATATGAAGTAGGATGGAATTCTAAATAGCACTCTGAAAGTTTAAAAAAAAAATAAAATCTTACAAATGTTTTTTCCTCAACAAGCTGCTCTTGTTTTATTAACTGAATCCCAAGCCAGACTAGCTGGAAGCTTCACTATTTCCTTTTAGATTCCCAGTCTTAAAGCCTATTTTGTGTACAAGCCCTCACCCTGCTGGCCAGACCACAGACTGTCTTAGAAACCGCCGTGTTTCCAAAAAACAGCCACCCAGACAGAGCGAGAGGTATCTAGGGAGCTCTGGAGAGTAGTTTCGTATTGAGTTTGTACATAGAAAGAGTAAGTGCATTTCTAAAAGCAAAAATAAAAACCACTGCGTATTGGAATATACTCTAAGTAGTAGCGCTATCATTCCACTGTGAAAGAAACTTAAGCACACCCTCTCCCTCCAGCTTCCTACTAATTCTGTGTTTCAAAATACAGGTGTACTGGCAGGTGACTTTCCTACGGGACCAAAAAGCAAGAAAGGGTGAAAGATATGTCCTTCCTCTCTGCTCCGCTCTGGGAGACCCCCCTGCAGGGCTGGGTCCGGCTCTGGGGCACCAACAGCAGAAGGACACGGACCTGCTGGAGCGGGGCCAGAGGAGGCCACGGAGATGCTGGGGGGGCTGGAGCCCCCCCTGTGAGGACAGGCTGGGAGAGTTGGGGGGTTCAGCTGGAGAAGAGAAGGCTCCGGGGAGACCTTAGAGCGGCCCCCAGGGCTGAAAGGGGCTGTGGGAAAGGGGGGGGACTTGTCATTGGGGGGAGGGATAGGACAGGGAGAACAGTTTTAAACTGACAGAGGGGAGATTTAGATGAGATCTAAGGCAGAAATTCTCCCCTGTGAGGGGAGTGAGGCCCTGGCACAGGCTGCCCAGAGAAGCTGTGGCTGCCCCCTCCCTGGAAGGGTTCAAGGCCAGGTTTTGCTCCTACAGAAATGATTTCCATCCGTTTTTGACTACAATTGTTAAATTTTAACTCTTGGTTTAGCAGTACGTTCTCTCACTGAAAATTGTTTAAGGAAGGAAACAAGTCATAAAAATAGTGCCAATTTTTCAATTTTAAATAAATCCTCACTCTCCAACTTGAGTTTATAAGGTAATTTTTAAAAGTTATTTTTAGTCTGAACGTGCCACCATTACAATCCAACCTCAGAAGCTGCTGCCTTGGCATGAGGAACACGTGAAGTAGCCGCTTCGCACCTCACCTCTGCACAAGTCTGTGCCAGCTTGTTATTCAGATCATTTCAGACCACAGATACTCCCTGGATCTCTTGAACTATGTTCCTGTGAATTTCAAGACAGCGTTTGCCTGTTCTACAGCACCATGACACTGTTAACTCAGGTTCAGCGTGTCCTGCACTCCAAGTCTCCAGTCCCTTTCTATGCTGCTGCTGCATCAGCTGTTTTCACAGCCGGACCTCAGCAAACAACCTGCGTCACAGGTAAAGGCGGTGTTGTAATTCAGTGGCAAAAACCAAAATTATAAATTATTTGGAATTTTTCTGCCTTTATCACCCCTCCAGCCCTTCTCCCACTTTATTCAAGTATCTATCCCACTGCCTGAATCCACAGGCAGTCATTTTAGTGTTAAGGTCATATGAAATGATTTCTTACATACGCAATTTCACCTGTACATTCATCTTAGATTCCTTTGCTTTCCCTAAAACCAGAGCATTTTGTCTAAGTTTAACAAGTGTATCATTATTTTAAATAATGCATATTTCAGCAATAATCACAGCACCTAAATCAATGATACCATAATTACAATGGCCATACGTATTAACCACTGGGCTTTAACAATTATTTAGTGACTCCCTAACTGACACACACATACACACTGCACTTACTGCTGCCATAATACAGATCAACATCAGTTCCTTCCACTCCTCTGGAAAAAAAAAAAATAAAAAAAGCAACACTAAAAACTATTTTAAAGGCTTCCAGCTCTTCTGGCAGCCCATATGGACAACTCCGGGACATGTCACATCAACACAGCTGGTTTCTTTTGAGCCCCCTTCTCAGTGGTACATATGGAATATACAGTATGGGGGTGATTAGCAGAGGAAGAAATCTGCCCACTCACCCTCTGCAGGGGTTAATAATGAGAACACAGAACAGCTGTAACACAGCTGGTTCTGTCCAAACAAACTGCTCAACTTTGCTAGATGTTTTCAAACAAGAGATTAGGTCAATTCCTCCCTTCAAGCAAAACTCTTACCTCAACTGTCTGTAGGATATTGCTCACGTATCTTATATTAATCCATCCCTCTTGTACGTTCTGAGTACAAACTGGTAGGTTTCTTTTACAGTGAGATCCTGTAACTTTCACAAAACTAGCAAGAACAGACACTTGTTGCCTTCACCGCAAGTTCAATCCTCCCTAGAAAACAGAGAAATCATTCCGGAATTCATTCATAAACACATCTGTAAAACTCAAATCTTGTTTCCAGTGCTCACAGCACTGCTTGCTTATCCCTTCAAAAAAAAACAAAAAACCCACAAAACCATGGCTGAAACTGTTTTTCCAGAATTTTAAACCCAAACATCATCTTTACTGAAGGAAAGTGGGGCTGGTGTCCTGTCTGGTGGTAGCTACCGCCTCAGGGGTGATGAGCAGAAGAGCCAGAAGCCGGCAGAACCACGCGCCACGCGTAGAGCTGCTGGGACACCTCTCTGAGAACACTAGGTATAAATAGTTACAAAGCTACGTTTTCAGTGCTTTTCTGACACCTTTTATCCACCTCTAACTCACACTGGTAACATAGGTGAACGGGATTGAGAACTTCTCCAGCAAGACCCAGGATTTCACAGGCGGTGCCGACTCCTTCCGGTGATGAATTCCAGACGACAACCTTCCACCAAGCAGCGTCCTGCCAGCGCTTGGATTTGAGCCATGCAACACAAAGCTGCGCACACACCCCGTTTCCACAGAACCTGGCTAGAAAAGTAGACATCAGTCAGTTTGCAAAGTATGAGCGGTTCTCAAAGCAATCACTTCAAATTTACAATTAAGTTTGCTGAAGTGGCAGCGATTGAAATACGTAATTTTGCATTTGAAAACACGTTAAAGCCTAAGAATCAAGTCTTAAACTGATGCCTGCGAGCAGCTGGTGCCTGCAAGTTGAGGCCTGTAACAATTAGTGATCCATTATACCTTGATTATTAAGAAAGTCTTTTACCAAACAATATTTAAAAAGGCCTGAGTGATTAAAACGTACAGAGAAAATATCCAAACCTTGAAAACACACATCCTGGCAGAAATACTCAAAGAAGGTGGATAAGAAAGAACATCTTGACTGGACAACAGAGCTGGAAAACATCCAAGGAGAAGAAATTGTTCTCAAAAGGCTCGTGACCCTAAAAGGGAAAAAGGAGTAGGGGGCTAACTCCCCAGATGACCACCAACAACCACCCGAGACCCCTGCGCATGCGTCGTGTAGTTTTGCAACTGCAGCATGATGTAAATCTGATAGGCAGAAAGGTGGAGACTTCCTGGAAAATTTATGAATGTTCATGTCTTTAAAGTACATAAAGGATGAACTTTTGCTTTAGTGTGTGCACATTAGGGGGAATGATCCCCCGTGCACCCAGCAGGACACGCCAAGCTGTTAGGAAAGGATGTTGATTTGATGAACCGATGAAGATAAACTAATTTTTCGTATGATAAAGTTTTAATATCCTGTCCACAAGCTGCCCTGTTTTATCACATGGTGATACCTGTACAAAACTTCAACGTGGCAAAAGCATGTATTAAAGCAAAAGCACTATTACAAATCAATCATTCTGCCTTATTCTTCCTGCTTTTTCATTTGGTCCCGGTAAAAATGAACATCAACCTGAGCAAATTCAGCAGGTTTATTCACAAAAGAATAACTTAAGACTCAGTCAAAAAGACACTGGAAGTTTGAAGCAAGGTATGTGGTTCAAATATCATTTGCCTAATGCTTTTGTTTCTTTGAAAACACAAATCTGAAAATCTGCTTAATAAAATTAACTTTTTTTATAATACCCCTGTAAAAGCCAGCTGAAAGCATCAAGAAAATGTTTATCTACCTTAATTTAACAGAGCTGCACACACCATTCTGTTTGCTTCAGCTCTTATTGGACAACCAGGTGGGAATTTAATACCTTAGTCAGATGAGAACTCATAATTAGAGATTCTCACCCAAAGCCAGTGACACAAGATGTGCATTCTTTCAGCCTGGATATAGTATTTTGTATTTACAAAGTTTTAAAATAATCTGTGCGTTTCACACAAAATAAATTAAGCTTCAATACATAAGCATTGCGCCTTATTAAAGGATAATGGATTGATTTGACAAGTACATTTGGCACAAAGGGAAACCATCAGCAAGACTAGAAAGTTTCTATCTATAAATGCCAAGCTCCACTGCAATTATGTCACTGCAGCAGGATGATCCTGCTGCGGGCTCACAGAGATCGTAACTCTGGATCTTCGCAGGATCACCTCTTACACAATCCTGTTAGTCATCACATGGAATTTAAGACTACAATTAAACAGACTTGTTAAGCCATAGGACACCAGTACGAAATGCTTCCCATTTAGAAACCAGCACATTTATCTGCAGGATCAAGAAAATCCAAACCAGAACAACCTCACACACTACTACAACTAAAGGACCACATTCAAAAGATTTAAAAAAACTGCAAAAATTACGTGTATTGTGCTCACCTCTGCTTACAAGTTACAGATAATGAGACATAAAAATATTGACAAAAACCACACATTGTGCAGCTTTTACCTCGATATAATAAATTAGCTTCTTACTCCACACCAAAAACTTTTCAGAAGGTGCATATATTCTTATAAAAAGCTAGCTACAGACCATGCAGAAAGAAACCCAGTTTGACACAGTTATTTTACCATTTTATTGAAAACCAAGAGGTACATTTTACACTTAATTTCAGTTGAAGTTACAGTGAGTGTTAGCATTAGTCCAATTTTCAGCTCTCCTTTTCCAGCCTTTCCCCCCCACTTTTCTCACCATTTCCAGCACTGAACCTGACCACAGAGAGGGCGCAGAGGGAGCAGGACAGTTACTGCTGCAGGCCTGAAGCAGTAAGGCACGTTCTGATCTGAAGGGGGCAGAGGGTAGGAGAGAGAAGACACAAAAAACCTGTGTGAAGGTGATATTTAAGACAGTCTGTTGCTCAAGTCAAGCCCTATCAAACCTGGTTTGTATTGTCTAAATTAAAAAGTAGGGCTTTTTTTTTATTAAATTACTTTGAATCCTTATCAGTGTCCATCATATTATCCATGACACCATTTTCAAAATCCTCAAAACGTAAAATATTTTATAAAAATGCTGCACAGAACCCATGAAAACACCTTTGCCATGTCACCCATCGCCCGACCGAGCCTCTGCAGCTCGGTTCTCATTTGAGGTGGCAGAATTCCTAAAAAGGATAAAACCTCTCAGGTTTTTCTATAAGTCTCCTTGGAAAAGGTCAAAGGCTTCAGTGCTTAAGGAAGCCTTAACTTGAACCGCCTCCGACAAGAACTCCAATGACTAACTCAACATCAGTACCTCGACTCGCCCTGAACAAACTGGCGATTTTAACTTAAGGCGGGACGCTTTTCTCCTCTGGACTGGAGGAAGACTTACTGCCAACGCTGGGCTCTTCCGGGGCGACCGAGGCCCCCCGCCCTGGGCGCATCTAACCCCCCCGGGCAGCAGAACGCCCGAGAGGGGGTCAGGAGCGCCGCCGCTCCTCCCACAGCGGGCCCGGGGCCTGGGACGGCACCGCCGGCCCCGCCGCGAGGAGCTCTTCTCCGCCTCCCTTAGCGTCG